AAAAAAAAAAAAAGATAAATGAATTAATGAATGTTGAATCAAAAGCCCAGAAACAAATTCACATACATATTAACACAATAAACAAGCCATGATCGTAGAACAGGGAAGTGAGCCTGTTTAATGATTAATGCTGGGGAAACTGCTAAAGGTAAGAGAATGAAGTTGAATCACTCTCTAGCCTCATGTACAACAATAATTCCAAATGAATTAAAGATTTATACATAATGCCTGCAAAAATTAAGTGCATAGAAGAAAACATTGTGAGCATGGAGTACATGCTCACAATGATGAATTCTTAACCCTGATGGCAAGAAAAGTAAATGCAAAAACAGACAATTTAGATTACTTCAAATTAAAACAAATTTATACAGTGAACAAAAGTATAAGTAGATTGATAAGAGATCCTGATGAGTGGGAGAAAGTGTCTACACAGAACACAACAAGTAAAGGACTAATAGCCAAGCTACATAAAAATCTTGTAGAGTTCAACCACATTATAATAATCCGATTAATAGATGGGCAGCAGATCTGTACAAACAGTTCAACAACAACAACAAAAAATCCAGTGGACTCAAATAAGTGGGAAAAAGTGCATCATCACTTCCACTAAGAGATAAGCCAATTAAAACCAAAATGAGATACCATCTCATACTTGTGAGAATAGCACATATTAAAGTTTCCCAGCAAAGACAGGAGAGGATGTTGTTGGGAATGTGCCATTTTGAGAAGTGATCTAGAGTGATCTAGATTTACCTGAAAAACTAAGAGTAGAAATATGACTCAGTAGATCCAGTTTGGCCAACTGTCTAGAGAATGTGAAACCAACAAGTCGGAAAACAGTGTGCTGTGCGTGCTTATCGCAGCGCTACTTACAGGTCTTAGGACTCGGAAGCTACATCAATGTGCCCCTATCGGAAATTGAATCAGTAAGATACAGGCTTTCTGTTCCTCCAACTTCAGCTCTGCAATGCTGGTACAATGCTAACCATGCTCATGGCATAACCATGGTGAAGGTTGGTGTCAGTGAATTTTGCCAGATTGGGCTTCTGGTCACCATTCCTACTTTTACTTCTGGCAGAGTGGATATTCTTGAAGTTAATGACCCCTTCATTGACTTCAGCTATGGCGTTTTAGTTGATTCTACCCAAGGCAAGTTCAATGGCATAGTCAAGACTGAGAACTGAAGGCTTACTATCAATGGAAAGCCCATTTCCATCCACCAGGAAGGAGATTATCCCCAGTACTTCTAGTACTTTCTTTTTTTTTTTCTTTTAAACGTTTGTTTATGCATACAGAACTGGGGTACGAACCAGATGTGAGAGGATTCACCAGAGACAGTGGGGAAGAGAACAGGCTGAATGATGAAGTACACTGCTGAGGGGAGCAGCAGGTGGGTCAGGAGAGGTCTGCTGCACCATATGGATCACCTCCGGAGCAGGGATTGAACCCATGCTCTGAAGTGTCTTTAGCTTCTTAGTGCTGTGCTTTAACCCACTGCGTCACAGGGAGGGCTCCTTCCAGTACTTTCATTACTGAAAATGTTACGGAGTACAGTGAAGTTCACATTAGACATGGCTGGGACTCACTTGAAGGATGGGGCCAAAAGGGTCATTATCTCCAGCACCTCTGCTTATGCCATCATGCTTGTGGGTATGAGCCATGAAAGATCACAGCTCCTGCAACATTTTTTTTTTAAAGATTTATTTATGCATACAAGAACTGGGGTGAAGGCTAGAGATGTAGGGGGTGAGAGGACTCACCAGAGACAGAATGGGGAGCAGAACGGGCAGATCTACAGAAATAACACTGCTGAGGGGAGCAACAGGTGGATCAGGAGAGGTCTGCCACGCCATGTGGGTCACCTCCCTGGCCTGGGATTGAACTCAGGCTGCAGCGGCTGCAGAGAGCCCCACAGTGCTGTGCTTTAACTGTTTTACCACCAGGGAGGGCCAACTTGCAATATTGACAACATCTTCACCAACTTGGCCCCCGTGGCCAATTCATCCGTGACAACTTTGGCTTTTCAGACTCAGGATCCAAGTCTATGCAATCACTGCCATACAGAAAGAAGGCCAGGGACAACCCCTTTGGGAAGCTATGCCATGATAGCCAAGGGAATACCCATAACAAACATCCCTATCTCTTCTTGAGCTCAAAGATTGTACTAAGTCATTCCTGAGTTAAGTGGAAGCTCAATGGCTCCAACTTCAGTGTTGCAGAGTTGACCTGCTGTTGGGAGAAAGCTGCTAAATACAGTGACATCAAGAAGGTGGTGAACCAGGCATCTCAGAGCCGCCCTTAAGGGCATCATGAACTATACTGAGAACCATGTTGTCTCGTGTTTTAATAGTGAAACCCACTCTTCCATCTTTGATGTTGGGGCTGGCACTGCTTTCAACAACTATTTTATCACTCATTTCCTGGTATGACATTGAATTTGATGACAGCCTCAGAGTGGTGGGCCTTACGGTCCACATGGCTACTGAGGAATAAGAGCTTGAGGAACCCCCAACTGCAGGGGAGTCTTTTCCCCATTCATCCAGTATGCTGAGGAGGAGGAGAGGAACTTAGGGAACCCTGTCTTGTCATGTATCATCAATAAAGTATATTGTACCCAGCCAAACAAACAAGATGTGCTCCAGCCACATTATGGAATGCTACTCAGCCATATGGAAAGGAGAAATGCTGCCGCTTACAGCAATATAGAAGGAATTTGAGATGATTGTGTGTAGTAGAGCAAATCAGAATGACAGATATTCCACTTTTACATAGTGGGCAATTCAACAAGGTAAAATACTTATACAGACTAGGGGGTAAAATACTTATACAAACTAGGGGGTATTAATAAAAGAAGTGAGGTTTCTGAGGCAGGGAAGGGAAGAAGAGTTAAGGGGTATAAGAGACGGATCTTGGGGGAAAAAGTTTAAATAAAACTTGATACTTGCAGTTATGAGACCTTGGCTCAAATGCCCGCTGTCACACGTTGTGGCTGTCTCCTCACCCATGTATAGTAGTGATGGCGTGGCTGTGAGGACTATATGTAAAGCACCTTTCACAATCCCTGGTACATTATAATAATTGTAAGGTATTTCTTTAATGTTATTTTAATGACTCATAGTAATCTTGTATACTGTAGTCAGATGCAGTATACAAGTACTGGAATTGTGTGACCTCGCATGGTCTTCCTAAAAAACTCTTTCCTTGACCAAGCTGTGTCCCACCAACACCAGTGACTACCAGGCTGCTTTCATCCGCTGTGCTGTTTCTCATTGTGAAGCAGAGGAGTGCCTGTTATTTTTCACTGGTTATCATGTTTGTTATTATTATTGCTCTTGGGATTCATTCCACCCCTTAACAAATCTGAGTTTCAGATATGAACAGGGATACCAAAAAGGAAGATGGTATCCTAACCCCAGGATTAGTTTAAAGGTAGCAAAGTAGTGTTCAGAGTAAGAGTATCATCTAAGGAAAGAAGGATCAAAAAAAAGTTCTCATGGCCTACTTCATTCATCAGTGTCTGTTGTTCCTTACACTTGTTGGATTGGTAAGAATACCTGGGGACATCTGTATCAGATGTCATTTTCTCTCTAAAATTCTTTTTATTGATTCCTGTTTTTAGAGAATTGTAGACGTGTGTAAAAATAGAAGAAATAATACAGATTAAAAGAAAAATAAAAGTAGTGTTACCTTAGGGGAAAAAAGAGCAGCTATCCCTGAACATTACTGCAAGGACTTTAAGTCATTATTAATGTTGAGGATAGACAGTTCTTAGTATAGATCTGAAAGCAGGGAGAACACGCTGTAAGTTTGAAAAGAATCAAGATGCCTTCATGTAGGTGTCAGCTTTTTAGTGAAACCTCAAAGCATATGGTTGTAGTAAGTTGCAAGTGGAGGGAAAATAGATAACCCAGGTGACAGGATCCCTTCAGTGAGGGTGGTGAGCAATCTAGATGACTTGTACATTGAATCTTCCTTACCTCAAGTTTTCGACCTCAGACAATGATGGTCCTGTTGTAAATCCCAGGTCTGAGTTCCGTTTTTTACATAGACTGCCTTGATTTCACTGAGAGTCTGATTGATTGAACAAGATTTTCTTGTGCTTTTAGAATGACAGTCGAGAACGGCATGAGCATGGCAGCGAGCGACGGACGCGGGCCAACCCTGAGCCGGTGTCTAATGGCCGACCTCAGGGCAACTCACAGCAGGTGGCAGAGCAAGATGAAGAGGAGGATGAAGAGCTGACGTTGAAATATGGCGCCAAGCATGTCATCATGCTCTTTGTGCCTGTGACTCTGTGTATGGTGGTAGTCGTAGCGACCATCAAATCTGTCAGCTTTTACACCAGGAAGGATGGGCAGCTGTACGTATGAGTGCTTTGGTTTTTCATTCTCAAAGCCACAGTAGCTTTTCTTCATAGCTACAGTGATGTCGTTACCTTGAAGGCCTCAGGACATAAAAAAAAAAATCCCTCTTCTCATGGCCAGAGTGAGGATACTTATTACTTGAGGCTTCAAATGAGAAAATAAAAGCTGCAGGATTCTATTTTGTTTGTAGTGTCACCAGATAGGGTTGGCTTTATTTGGAACTGGGCCAGTAAAAATTTTGGCTTAAAAAGCAGGTACTCAAAGATAACTTCCTTGATTCTCTTAACAGAATTAGATCTTTCCTGATAGTCTCATGATAACCTGTTCCTTTTCACTTGTCAGAATATGCATATTTATTTTAAACCTTACTTAATGCCTAGGACTTCTGTACTTGCAAGGCCTATAAGAGACACTTAGTTTCCGGTCAATATACATAAAAGAAGAAAAGTTGTTAAATGAAAGGATGAAAAATTAATGCTAGCTGGCACTTGAGACTCTTGGGGAATGTTGTGTTAATTCTTTGGTGCACTGGAACTTCCAAGAGAAATGCTTCGATTCACCTGTAGCCCTACTTTTGGGGGGCTTTTAGCAAATTTTAGAATTTGAAATCGACAAGTGCCTGAAAACTACATGATGTTCTTTCTGAAAGTCAGACTCTTAAACTTTGGGGAGAAAGGCTAAGGTAGTGAGTGAAGGACAGAGGTGGAGACCATAGCCAAAAGAAGGAAGGGATTATTATCTGTGTCATTCAAGAGTTAGGGCTTTTTCACAACATATTGTCAAATGGGTTTGAAAGTGACAGCTCACAGATGCCCCCCTGACAGCTATTTTTATAAATGTAGTTTTATTGGAACACAGCTATGTGTGTCCATTTACTTACTCGTTTGGGCAGCTTTCATACTGTAATTGAATGACTGCAATGGAGACTGACCTGCATAGTTTAAAATATTTACTATAGTACTTGACAGAAAGTTTGTTGACCCAGTTGTGGAAAATCTAAAAAGCTGGTTTAAAAGTATAGATTTGTTTTGTCTCTCCCACAGAATAGTGCAGAGGAAGTCAGTCCAGATTGGTATAGTGGCTTCACATTCAGCAGGAAGCCAGGGTCCTCCTTTGACTTCATTCTCTAATCATCCCAGAGTCCACTTGGGGTGCTACAACCTAACCTTCCAGCAGGGAGGCATGGAGGAGAGACTTGAGACATTTCTCAGCAGAAGTTACTCCTTGGGAGTTCCACACAACGCATCTACTTATAACTCCCTGACCATTATTTAGTCCCATGGCCACACCTGTGTTTAAGGGAGTCAATATAAAATCTTTTTTTTTTTTTAAGGATTTATTTTGTTAATTTATGCATGCAAGAGCTGATGTGCAGACCAGAGGTGCGGGGCAAGGGAGTGGTGAGAGGATTCACTAGAAACAGAGTGAGGAACAGAACAGGTGGATTCACAGAAATCCACTGCTGAGGGGAGCAGCAGCTAGGACAGGAGAGGTCTGCTGCACATGTGGGTCAACTCCTTGGCCAGAAATGGAACTTTTGCTACAGTGGCTGATGATAGCTTGATAGTGCTAAGACTTAACCCCTGTGCCACCAGGGAGGGCCCCAGAAATAAAATGTTTTAGATGGGAACATTAGCATCAAAAGTTAGATTTTATGTGTATGAAAAACAAGGGGAAGGTGGATATGACATTGTCTCAAAACTGCTCCAGTTGCAGTCATTTTTCAGAAGAAAGAAAATAATTATAAATCATATTACCTTCTCTTACCACCACTTGTAGCGTAGTTTATATGGCATACTCTGGTTCTTAAAGTATTGATAAAATGGAGAAAGAACATGTGATGAGGTAATTGTTTCAGTATAAAACATCCACTAGATGGAGCCAATAAGTAAGTTCATCTGATTTTTATTTCATTTTAAAGCAAATGAGTATAGCTGTTTTTCTCAGGTTAAAAGTTCTTGACTAGAAAAAAAAGTTCTTGACTAGGTTGTAAAATAGATGTAAAATAGTTAGAAAATATCAGTTGAATCAAGGAAAGAAAACTGGTGTGGGAGGGATTATGTGGTTTGGGATATTTGTTAACACTTACTTGGGCTTTTGTGTTTTGTTTTATTATAGAATCTATACGCCATTCACAGAAGACACGGAGACCGTGGGCCAGAGAGCCTTGCACTCAATTCTGAATGCTGCTATCATGATCAGTGTCATTGTTGTCATGACTATTCTCCTGGTGATTCTGTATAAATACAGGTGCTATAAGGTGAGATGAGGCTCAGAGCTTTACTTCCTGCCACCTTTTTTTTTTTTTTAAGATTTATTTATTTATTCATACAGAGCTGAGGTACAGGCCAGAGATGTGGAGTGTGAGAGGATTCACCAGGGACAGAGTGGGGAGCAGAACAGGCAGATCGACGAAGTACACTGCTGAGGGGAGCAGTGGATGGGACAGGAGAGGTCTGCCACGCCATGTGGTCACCTCCAGGGCAGGCGGGGATTGAACTTAGGTTTCTTAGTGCAGTGCTTTAACCGGCTGCGCCACCAGGGAGGGCCCCTTGCCACCTTTTTTTAATGACTGGGATTTCCTGGCACATGCCTTATTTGGTCTGGTAAAGAAAATGGCCTTATTTAAGTTAATTAGTAATTACTGCCCACCCCCCATCCCATTATGGATTATGTGACACAGAAAGGGCCTAAATGGAAAACGTCTTCATATGCCACAAACTAAATGGTTGTAACATTTTGATTTGTAGTATATGTAAATATCCCAAAAGAGAGTGTCGTAAGTGTTCTGTGAATTCCTTTGTTCACAAACAGCACTATAGGATACAGTTGTCTCCATAAAGTGAAATTTTAAAAATCAGGTTTTCATATTTGAGTGCAGAGCAATAAAGCCAGCTTCAGATGCTGGTGTTAAACTCAGTAATGACTGGCTGTAGTCCTGGTAGCCATGTGTCCTTTTACCTATTCTGCTGTAGTAGCCCTTACTGTTTTCTTGGCAAGTGAGCACATGGAGGTTGCCCGGGATAGACACAGGCCCTCCTGGGCTCTGCTTTCCTGGCCCACTCTTTTAGCTAAGTGGCCCACTCCTGAATCTCAGGCATCTGGCACCTGTTTCAGAACAGTGACAAGTTATTACAATTCATGAACCTTTAACGTCATTCTCAAATAAAAGAGATACTAACTTTCCAAATATTGAAGTCTATTTCCTTTTCCCTTTTAGTATTTGCTTAGTGTGTGACATGGTTAAAATAAAATGTATAATCGGTATGTCTTTTCTTTTACTTCAGTGTAAGCATTTTCCATATTGTAAATTCTTAGAAAATGTCTGATGGCTATGTAATATTTAACTCAGTAAGTACAATGTAATTTACTTCTTCTTTATTGGACATTTTCCATTTTTTTACTATTCTCAAATACAATCAAAGTGTTCATCTGATTTTAGACCCCTGGGTCCCCATTACCACCATGACTGAGCATGAGAATAAAGAAAAAACCAAATTTGAGATTTTTCCTTTTCTTGATGTTAGGAGACTTCTTTCCCACTCCTTGAGTCAGACCTTGAGCTGTTCCTGGAGCTCTTGTTGGCTTATAATGTCCCCTCCAATTGTGTTGTGTTCACAGGATGAGGGTAATGCTGGAGGGACAAGAGTGTTAAGGCTGCTCCTTGAGCTTATAATTCCTCAGGCCACCTGCCTCCACTTAGAGCTGCGTAATTCGATCCAACTTTTATAGCTGGGCTTGATGGAAGAGACAGGGTGGAATGTGCTTTTACTTCGTGTTACTTAGAACTTGTCTTGCTATGTTTTTGATCCTCTAGGGTAGGATAATCTAAAAGGATTATCCTCAGTCATATATCCACATTTACCTGTGAATTTGTATTGTTTACTATTTAAGTCTTAGCAAGTGGAGCCAATTCTATAGAAACAAATTATTTACTTCAACTTTAGGTACAAATTAAGAGGAACTTTTGATTCAAATTCAGAAACTTGACAGAACCTGTTTAGAAATAAGCCTTGAGGACTTGTCAGTGGTTGTGCAATGTCTGTAATAAGCACAAGAAGCTAAAGATCATGCAAACGTTAACAGTGAAAACCAAGAAAGAAAGCAGTGCTTTCATATATATCATTTGTTTAGGTGATACCATATAAATTATTAATGTCATGTGACTTCTGACCTGAATAATTCTAGGAGTAGAGGAGATACTCTTCTGTATTGAAGCAGGGCTCTTTTAGATCTTTGAGTACAGGAACAGGGATTTTTGCAAGATGAGAAAGACCCATTTTACCATGTGATGGTCTAGAAAAGGAGGTGCTTAAAGTTCTCAGAAGGTTTTGAATTCAGGAAATAATTTGGAAAATCATACATCAGGGAACACCCTAAATTAGGAAAATTGTTTGCATTCATTACACAGGCAGAGGGCTAATTTTTTATAATATGCAGAGCACTTACAAATCACTAAGAAAATAAAAAAATCCAAAATAGAAATTATAAGAGAGTTATAAATGACTTGTAAAGAGAAAGATGTGTGTGTATGTATATCTGTAATGTCCACACACTCACTCTTTGACAAAAGAAATACATATTAAAATAATACTTTTTTCATCTATTTTTTTCACCTACTAACTTGGTAAGGATTAATTCAGTCTTTTTTCTGAAGTCACTAAACCATTATGTACCAGTAGTCTATTATTAGAAAAAGCTTGTACAGTTTGACTTGATAAATCCCAAAGAAAAATTTAGTAATGCAGAAAAATATTTGCATATTATGATAAACATCCTAGCATAAATTATAATGAAAGTGTCAGGGGGCACCACAAATTCCATGCAGTAAGCAAAGGTTAAATTGTGGCTCCCATCGACATAAGTTATATATTATTTAGTCATTTCAAAGTTATACTTGATGGTAATAATATTGAGAATATGTTTGATAAGAGATTAAGTTTTAAAAAGCAGAATGTGCAATTGTCCTCTTTTTGTCAAAGTTTGATACATACAGATAGAAAACAAGTCTGAAAAGAAAATGTTATTAACTTCATTATTAACTTGTGATTAGGAATTGTTTCAGTTTTTATTTTCTAAATGTTAAAATTTTTTACTGAGTTATAACTTGCTTCAGTTGTACATAATAATGATGTGATACTTATATGTATTTTGAAATGATCACTTAAGTCTAGTTTAATATTTTCATTATACATAGTTTCTTTTTTCTTGTAATGAGAACTTTTAAGATCTACTCAGCAAATTTCAAACATATAGTACAGTGTCACTGACTGTACTCGTGATACATATTATGTAGTATGTGTTTATTTTATGACCACAGGTTTACGTGTGTGTATAGATATACACTTAATCAGGTTGTATAAGATTTTGCCAAATATGCCTGTTATATAAAACTACCATTAAGAAGTACTGTCTTGTTTAAAAGATTACAAGAATGAAATTCTAATCTGCTCTTACATAACTAAGTAATAAAGACTAATGTGTCTATAGTGCTATGTGAATTCTGCATGGTGATGGTGGACTGATAAATGTGTTTCAAAGAATTGGTAATATTAATACTTATTAATGTGCCATGTAAAAGGCAAGCATTGCAATATTCTTTTGTAAAATGGTTACATAATTAGAAGCCTTTTTGTATTCATTACATCTTGTATACATGGGTCACTTAACTGAATATATGATTATCAGTTTTATTGAATTTTATCAACTATTTTATTCAGTTTGTTTATTTTTTAAAGATTTATTTATTTTTACATAGAAGAATTGGGGTGCAGGCCAGAGAGATGTGGGGGGTGAGAGTATTCACCAGAGACAAAATGGGGTGCAGAACAGGAGATTTACTGAAATATATTAGCATACAGTGGTGGAGGCAAGAGAGGTCTGCTGTGACATGCAGGTTAGCTCCCTGACCAGGGATCAAACGCAGGCTGCCTCAGTGGACTTTTGAGGTGGTAGCACTGAGATTTAACCACCAGGGCACCAGGGAGGCTCTTCAGTTTATTAATTTATTCAGAATTTCTCCATTGAAAGTGTTGCTTATTGAAGTAGAAACATCAGCTGTTGACTCTGTTGATAATTTAGTATTTTAGAATGCATTTTAGTTTTCAAAATTCTGTTTCTGAAGTAATGAGTCTGCATGTTTTGCTGAAATTTAGTTCACATTATGAGTACTGCACCAAAGAGTTCTGTCTTAAGTATACACTGATCCCAACTCCACTTATATTCTGCCATTTGAAAATAATATATAGAACCATACATAAAAATAGTATTTTGATGAAAGAAATTTATAATTTTTTAGGATTATAGAATCTTCTAATTATATTGAAATCCTGTATTTTCTAGGTCATCCATGGCTGGCTAATTATTTCATCTCTATTGTTGCTGTTCTTTTTCTCATTCATTTACTTGGGGTAAGTGGCAAAATTAATCGATCTATTTTTCAGAAATTATCTCTCTAGGCTGTATAATTGTCATGTAAAACCATATACTCTGTTGGTAAATTACTAAATTATCGTTTCCATATATAGATCATACTTGGCATATATAAGACAAGTTAGTAATATCAATAATAATCCTGTTTTGTTGATTGTATATAGTAAGTAGACTGAAAAAAACTCAAGACGATAGTATGACTTTTCAGAAAAGAATTTACTAAATTCTTTTAGTAAATATTTTATTGGTCTGTGCTTCTAGTAATCTCTGAATCAGAATGTTAAAAAAGGATTTCAAGAATATACTGTGCCACAGGGCTTCCCTAGTGGCAAAAGGGGTTAAAGCACAGCACTGTGAAGCTATCTGAAGACATTGCAGCATGAGTTTGGCCCGCTGGCCAGGGAGGGGACCCACATGGGGCAGCAGACCTCTCCTGTCTTTTCCCTTGCTCTTCTCATCAGTGTACTTCAGTCAGTCTGTTTATATTGTTCCCTACTCCGTCTCTGGTGAATCCTCTTAACTCCCTGCACCTCTGGCGTGTACCCCCCAGTTCTGGTATGCGTAAGTAAATAAATCTGTAAAAAAAAAAAGAGAATATATACACACAAATTACTAATTTTCAGGCTTTATTTCATCAGTGGATCTTTTTTTTTTTTTTCCAAGTGGAATCTTACAGGAAAACTTCACATAAAACAAAAGAAGCTCCTGTTTTGAAGAGAATAGAGACTCAGAGATTTGCCAGCCTCATCTGTCTCACAGGCCTAGTGGTAGAATAACAGTTTATAAACTATCACCTTGCTCTTAAATTAGGATAGGAAGCAATAAACAAAAATGATTTATTTGATAAAAGGTTGAGGGATAACCACAGAATAAAAGAAAAAAGTATATAAACTGGATACTTATTTAGAAAAAAGTCAGTACCACCAAAGCAATAGATAATGCAAATAAAGAAAAAATAAGTTATTAAAGAAGTTTCCATCTCCCACCAATCACAGCAATGCCTTGCCAAAATGTTTTCATGGGGAACAAGTAAATTATACTGTTTAATAAAGGGAAGAAAATCTTCCAGATTTTTTTTATGAAACCAAGATAGCATTGATAACAAAACTCAGTAAATTTTGAAGAAACAACTATAGAACAATCTAATTTATTGATGCCAATATAACAGTATTAACAATTCAGCAACACATTAGAGAAATAATACATTATGATCAAGTGGGTTTTGTTTATAGAGTGGAAATTTCTTTTATTAGAAATTAAATTATTAGGAAATTTTAACATACGTCATCACATTACTAGATACTCATCTCTGTGAACATGCTCAGAGGCATTTGTTAAAATTCAGCACTTGATCAAATTTCATTGTGAAATAAATAGATGGCTATTTTTCAAACATGATCTGTTTAAATGTCAAATATGATAAAAATGTGTGAATCTCTTAACAGCCAATATCATCTTCACAGGGAAACTCTAGGAGCATGTCTGTAACTATTAGGAATTAACTACTCTTACTTTTGTAGTCTTAATGTTGCTCTGGAGGAACTGGTGAGCCCAAAAGAGAAAAATAAATAAGAACTATACAATTTGGAAAAGAAGGTTCAACTTAAACATAGATTGAATATTTGGTTTCAGAACTAGCCAAGAAACAATACAAGTAAGTTTGCCAAAGTAGGTGGATACAGAACACACACAAATCAGTAGCCTTCATGTGGTGAGGAAACAAAACAAAGGGGGAAAAACACTTGTGATTGCAGCAAGAAGTATGAAATATCTTGGATCAAATGAAAATTGTGTAAGATTTACTGTTAAGAAATTTTTAAATGCCTGTGAAGGGCTTGAAGAAAATACTTTTAAGGAAATGGAAAGTTAAACCAGCTTACATAGAAAATCTTAGTATCATAAAGAGCTTTAAAATTTAATATAAGCTCAATAAAAGTATAAACAGAATTCATTTTTAATCCAGGCATGATTATTTTAAAGTTTATTTGGAAAAATAAGTAAAGGTACTATTTCACTTAGAATTCAAAAAAAAAAATTGAAGGGTTCTATTTCTATCTTTCTATCTGATACACAATTACAAAGCTACAATGGTTGAACTAAAGACACCTACACTATAAAGAGATGATCAGTAGAAAAGATTAGAAAGGCCCAGATCTATAAAGGAGTTTAATTTATGACTAAGCTAATATAGAATCAGTAGGCAGTAGGTGGATTATTTAGTAATGGGTCTAAGATAATAAGTTAGTCATCTGGGGAAAATAATTGGATTTCTATACCAGGCCATTTCCCTGTGGATTAAAAAATTAAATGTGAGGGCTCTCCCTGGTGGTGCAGTGGGTTAAAGCCCTGCATTAACAAGCTCTCAGAAGCCACTGAAACATGAGTTCAATCCCCGGCCAGGAAGCTGACCCACATGGCGTGGCAGACCTCTCCTGACCACCCACTGCTATCCTCAGCAGTGTACTTTGTCAATCTTCCTGTTCTGCTTCCCACTCTGTCTCTGCCTCAGGCTTGTACCCCATTTCTGTAAACATGAATAAATAAATCTTTTTTAAAAAAAAATGTGAAAGGAAAAGCGTAGAAGAACTAGAGGACATCATAAGGACTTAGGGGATTCACTTTTTTTATAGATTTATTTAGTTATGCATACTGGGGTACAGGCCAGAGGTGCAGGGGCAGTGAGAAGATTGACTTTATTTTCTGAAAATAGTATGTCCTGCTAAAATTCTGTGTGTTTAAGATATTTTAAACTAGAGTTTTTCCAAAGTATAATATACCGTACTTGGCATTTTAGATGGCCTGTGACTTACCTATTTTACTGGTTTCCCTTTTATATGAATTATGCAGTTTTTGTTAAAATAAACTCAATTTAAGGGAAAAGTGAATTAATTTAAAGAAAACTGAAGCAGTAGCTCCTTTGATAGAAGATAGGTAAAATATATATCTAAAAAAGTGTATCTAATGTTTGGATACATAGTTCTAAAATGTTTTGATGAAAATGTTCATAAACTGAATCTCTGCTTAATTTGTTTCAGGGAAGTATTTAAAACCTATAATGTTGCCATGGACTACATTACTGTTGCATTCCTGATCTGGAACTTCGGTGTGGTGGGAATGATTGCCATCCACTGGAAAGGTCCTCTGCGACTCCAGCAGGCCTATCTCATTATGATCAGTGCCCTCATGGCCTTGGTGTTTATCAAGTACCTTCCAGAGTGGACTGCGTGGCTCATCTTGGCTGTGATTTCAGTTTATGGTAAAACCCAAGACTGACATGTTATTCATCACAGTGATACCTCACTGGTGTGTTTTCCTTCCTCTTCCAATTTTTTTGACCTAGGGAAGTAACAGTTATGCCTCCTTGCTCTTCAGGAAATAGTTAATCTGTAGTATCTTTTTCACATGAAGCTGTCAAAGTTTTTGAGGTTATTAAGTATTCTAAAATGTTTTATTACTGCCTCTAGTTTGAATCAGTGGTGGGTAAGTGGAATGATCCACTGAGCTACCCACTTCTGGTCAGAAGACTTAGATTCATATCCATTCCTGCTACTGATAACCTTAAGTCATAAAGTGATTCAGGCTCCATAAGCTTCAGTTTTCTTATTTGGAAAATGAAAACAATGCTTCTCAGAGTTGTAAGAGTTGAGAATATATGATAAAAAGCACTGTCAACTTGATTAAAAGTAAAACTTACTTAGCAGAGAGATTCCAATTTGTTAACAGCCAGGGTATACCCTCACCATGAATAACTGAGGCAGTTGGGCAGATGTACTCTGACTCTCACACCGTGTAAAAGCCAAAAAAAAGAGGTCCATTTTCAGAGGTCGCTATGTAGTTTCTGTGTTGTAACTAGTGTTTTCTTACCCCTATTCAAAATGCTTATTAAAATGTCAGGTGACCTGTAATAAGAAACTTCATCATTATGCCTTGATTGACAAAGGAAAATGTTAGTGGAAGTAAAATTGAATCGGCTCTGTTCTCATACTTGAGCAGTCATAGGACGGTAGAAGTCATACACTCTTTATACTGACTTGTGGTGACCTTGGGGTTATCTTGTTCTTGATGGTGAAGCAAAGTACTCCTTTAATATGACATAGTTCTGGTACCAGTTACAGACACCATCAGTCTCCACCTTATGAATACTGTGCAGTCAAGAGAGTTTACAATGTTCTTCTATTCCGTGCCTTTTTCAGTAGCCACACTTCTGCTGTCACCTTCAAAGGAACACAGTATCTTCACGTAACTTCTCGTAGGGCTTTTCAACTGCTTCATTACACAATCTTCACTGCTAGATCTGCACTACATCCAGCCCCTCCAGGAGCAGATATAACATTATACTAATGATATATCATCCTGTGAAGAGAGTCATTTGATGTCCTTGTTGAGGACAGACACATTCTCAAGGGAACTGAAAAAAGAAGGCATTCCCTGTATGTGGTTCAAGGGCCTGCCCAGTTAAATACCTTTCTAAGCTAAGAACTTCTGCATCTCTGACACTGTCCAGGGGTAGCTGTTGACCCTTTCTGCACCCACAATGTTAAGACAAGTCTAGAATCTTTTAGGCCTGTTTGAGATCTGGAGGCATCATATTTACGAATTTAAGCCAATTTACTCACAAATTGTCTCATCTTGCATTGGGCCCTCCCACAACAAAACATTTTAGAACCTCCTCACATTGTGTTACAATGGTCACTCCTATTGATGTCCACTGCCCCCTGCTTCATTGCCTGAAGAGCCTTTGCAGCCTCCTCTCACACCTCCTGAAGTCTCTGGTCACCCGTGATGATCGTAAATTGCCTGTGGATTTCCAACGTGGAAAATGCCCTCCCCATATGTTTCACTGCACGCTGAGCATTCCTGGGTCCACTTGGGTAGCTCACTCACAAAGGTTCTCAGTCCCTTGCCAGTTGGCCACCCTTTCCGAGACCACTGGCTAGCTAGGGAGCCCTTGGCGACTAAATGAGAGTGAACAGCAGTAAAGTCTATGCACTTAGAAGGCATCTAAACTGTATTGATGGAGCTTTCTGGAGAGTTGCTGTTTTTCATTCCTAAATCTAGACATCCTGAATTAAAAGGTGGGATCAGGGCAGACAAAACTAACTGAGCATTAGGCAGTCACCTTACTTTGGCCAGCACCTGGCTCCATGCCTCCATTTTTAGACATTGCCAATGGTCCAGCCACCAATGGTGGCAATTGCAGTTTCTTATTCAGCGGTTCCCTTTTGAGGAAAATACTACAAGACTTTGTTGCCTCATAGATGATCAAAAAATCAGGCTACGTGTGCCTCTACATAATAAAGTCACACTAGGGACCTCACTGTGCTTTTTAAATTTCTAGACATTGTCAACGATGACCATTTTGCTTTGAAAATGTATAGTGCTGCTGCGATTCTCATCCCAAGACTGCCCGCTGTGTCTGTCGCGGCATCTCTTAGCAGATCTGCCCTTATAGGAGCACCTCTTTCTGCCCGTATACACCTATTTCTGCATGTATACAGGTGTCCTTTACTCTCCTTTTTTTTAAAAAAAATAATAAATCTACCCTTATGGATATTGAAAGATATAACTACACAATGCTGGACTCTAAAACAAGGTAATGAAATGTATCACCCTTACTGGACTCAGAGTACAGGCTTTGTAGAGCACTATTACAACGCACTTACACATGTTAAATTTAAATTTAATGAAACATGGTATAGTTCTGTCATCAAACATTACAGGTGAATTAGTATGGAGTGTGATTCTACTTTGAAATTAAGAGAAAAAGAAGAACACCAGTTCTAGAGACAGTGATGCCTGCCTTCAAGTCTTAGTTACTGTAAAGATTTAATTAAACAATACATATAATATATTTAGAACAGTAAATACCCTGTTTCCATGGTGGTGTTTTTTTAAATGTAACATCCTGCGAAGGGAACAAGGCAGTTATCTATCTTACTACCAAGAAACCTGAACTTGATATTGGTAAATTATTTGCCTAAATTTACATTATCAGATTAGAATATAATCCCAAATTCAGCATTCTTCTGTATTACTTTTCCTCTCATCGGTCTTTTTTTGCCCCCCATATTATAAATGATTATCTTCATAGATCTTTAAGTCGCTTTAAAGTAAGTTTTTATGTCCAGGATTTAGCATAAGAACTCTCAACTCATTTTACAGAGTCTTAGGATGTTTTAATTTGTTACAAAGATTGTTATGAAAATTTTCCCTCCAAATTTAATTCTCTTTAATTGCTTTAAAACTAAGGGAGTTTATCATTTAGTTAGAGGGCATTTTCAAACAGGGTTGAAAATCTCATTTAAGAACTTGGCAAATTTGAGATGGAAGCATTGACAGAGGTTCGTGTGTGTGTGTGTGTGTGTGTATGTGTGCGTGTGTGTGTGTGTGTGTGTGTTACATTAGCACTAATAGTATACTGGAGACACAGCCGCTTACAGGCAGCTGAGTGATAGTAATGCCAGCACAAGCCATCAAGTCTTCCTATACAAATCTAGCTTAACCTGTTTATTTTTAAGTGTTTAAAATTGTTTTCTGTATTTCCATAGTCTGAATTTTTACAACTCAGAAAATATAAGAAAAATTGAAGCTAAATGAAAAAGATAGTGGTAGAATTAAAAGTAATTTAGACATGCAATGCCCTCTCTGAGTTGCTATTTTTGTTAAATAAGCCACTTTCAGCACCATGCGCTTTTGACAAGGGACTAAAGAAGTGCTACACTTTTCTATGCAAATATTTACTGTTTTGCAGTGTTTTAATTTGCAAGTATTTCTAAGCAGTACATACACTATTTTTGGAAAGAGAAGGGACTCTCTTCTATGCTCCTCATATTTTGCAGTCAGTCAAATACTTAAATTTCTCTTATAAAGCTTCTGTTTATGATTTCTTTGGAAATGGCTTGTCTTGTTTCTGCTTATTAGAAATTGATAGCTGCTCTAGAATATTTCTCTCGTCATTATCTCCACCTCTTTTCTTTAAACTGAGAAGACTTGTTCCAAGAATCCAGTAATGTACACTATAAACTAACCAAGTGGCGGAATTAAGGTGAAATGTGCACATATCTTCTCTATGGTTTTGCCCCCCATCCCCCCTTACCATTTATTGCATATTCAGTCACCTTCCTTTTGTGGGGGGAAAAAGAAAAAAAAAAACCTTTCCATTGGTTAATTCCTCCCTAACATATACCCATTTATAAGTTTAGCCAGTACATTTTTTTGGATATCTTTTCTATTTTTTTCTTTCTAGATTTAGTTGCCGTTTTGTGTCCAAAAGGCCCACTGCGTATGCTTGTTGAAACAGCTCAAGAGAGAAATGAAACACTGTTTCCAGCTCTCATTTACTCCTGTAAGTATTTTGGAATGATATTAAAATTTTTTGGAAAGATTTATCTATTTATGCATACAAGAACTGGGGTACAGGCCAGAGTTGGGGGCTGGGTAAGAGGATTCAGCAGAGACAGGGTGAAGAACAGACAGGCAGATCTACTGAAATACACTGCTGAGGGGAGCAGCTGGTGGGTCAGGAGAGCTCTGCCGTGCCATGTGGGTCAGCTCCCTGGGCCGGGATCAAACCTGTGCTGCAGTGGCTGTAGATAGCTTCATAATGGTGTGCCTTAACCAATTGTACCATCAGGAATTATATTAAATATCTAGTTAGAAATCAGCATATTTAGGAACTCAAACACATGTAATTATGGTCATTACTTTATGGTACTTTTTCTCATCTTAAATGCAGAACACTATAGAAGACATAAAGATAAGATACTTCGTCAAGCCACCTGAGTTCAAATCCATACTCTTGTTCCTGTCACTTAGTGGTTATGTGACCCATAGATACAGTGCCTAAGTCTTAAAGTTGTAAAGATTAAGTTAAACAATACAGATAATTAGGACAGTATCCGTAAATTCCAGCTGTTGTGTTTTTTTTTTGTTGTTGTTGTTAATTTGCAGTCCTATAAAAACTGGAGAGCAGGTTTGAAGAAAGATGTTTTCTAAAGAGAAGATTTGATCTGTGTCTTAGATTGAATGGAAGGCTCCTGTAGGGAAAGACTTTGAAGAGAACAGGAATAAGAAATGATTAGTGCCTCCCTAATGGCAAAGTGGTTACATCTCAGTACTGTGAAACTATCAACAGTCACTTCAGCACTGAGTTCTATTGCTGGCCTGGGAGATGACCTCCTGTCTCGCCTCAGTAGTGTTTTTTACTCAGTCTGCCTGTTTTGCGCCTCACTCTGTCACTGGTGAATCCTCTCACACACCTCTGGCCTGTACGCCAGTTCTTGTATGCATAAATAAATAAATAGTTTTCTTAAAGGAAGTGATTAATGACACAAGGTTATCAACAAAGCAGGTGAAATTACTCTAAGATTTCAGAAAGGAGGCATTAAATATAGTGATTAATGACACAAGGTTATCAACAAAGCAGGTGAAATTACTCTAAGATTTCAGAAAGGAGGCATTAAATAAAAACGGGGGAAAATCTGGTAGGAAGTAAAAAAGAAATGCAAAAGATAAGAAAGACAGGAGGTTAGAGAGAAATAAAGTTGGGAACACGTATTAATTGACCTCCATCTTCACTGTGAGCTCAGTGCGAGGTTATTTATGGAAAGTGGGGATTTTATGCATAGCTGTGAGACAGTTGACAAATTTTAGAACATCTAGTATCTGGATGTAAAAGTCTTTCTTTTATGGTGCTTCCAATGTAAATATGTGCTTGCTCTGGCTTTTTGGGAGAAAAAAACAAATCAGGTTTTGAGCATCAGCATTTCCCTTTTTTTTTCTTTTTAGATTTATTTATTTATGCTTACAGAACTGAGGTACAGGTCAGAGGTACAGGGGCGGTGAGAGGATTCACCAGAGATAGAGTGGGGAGCAGAACAGGTCGACTGATGAAGTACACTGCTGAGGGGAGCAGCGGGCTGGTCAGGAGAGGTCTGCCATGCCATGTGGGTCACCTCCAGGGCGGGGATCGAACTTGCACTAAAGTGGCTGCGGCTCGCTTGCAGTGCTGTGATTTAATCCGCTGTGCCGACAGAGGGGCCAGAGAGGGCCCCAGCATTTCCCTTGTTTTTTTTCTTAAAGATTTATTTATTCATACAGAACTGGGGTACAGGCCAGAGTTGCAGAGGGTGAGAGGATTCACCAGAAACAGAGTGGGGAGCAGAACAGGCAGATCGGCGAAGCACACTGCTCAGGGGATCAGCGGGCGGG